CGTTGTGACAAACGGAAATCCTCACGTGACATATCAATTTTCACACTATGTCCTAAAAGTATAATGTCCTACGCTTCACTCCGGACAATAATTTGCAGTAATATAATACAGAGTTTCATTATAGTAAATCACGTGTCGCACTTATTTTCGTAAAACGCTTTTTTTGTAAAACTTTGCCTTCATAATCATCAAGATATTTTGATTGCCGTCTTTCTACGTTAATCTTGATGATACTCCGGACGGCAGTCAATTAATGCAGGCATATTGCTGAAGGAATTTTCTAGCTACACGATTTGTATACTTGGGATCATTGTCTTGCTGAAAGTGTCAGATACCCAGAATGATTGAACTTCAGGTTAAGTGCATCTAAAAAATTCCAATGTTAAAGAACCATTCATTATTTGCTAAAGCAAAAAATACTTGCTTTTCTCTTTGAGCAAAATCTACCCAGACAAAATCTTTACTTGATATTTTTGGGATGGGGCCAAATGGTCGAGAAGCCTTTATAGTATTTCAGAACTGGAAGGATGTTTCATCTAAAAAAAGGTTATTCCAGTGTCACAAGTTTTTATTTTATATGCAATGGAAGCATTGGGCAGCTAATGGAAAAATTATACTTATGATCAAAACCATTTAGATGTGTTGAAATAATTCATTTATAACATTTTCAGGTAATTTATTTGTTATTTCTGAAAAGATAAGGTGGGATATTTCTTAAATGACTTTGGATATTCTGAAGTGATTTTTAGGATGGCCACTACCTTTTTACGTGCAATGTAGTATCTTTTAATTTTCGAATTTCTTTGGACGATTGAATTCCTATATTCTAAAAGTGTAAAATAACTACCGGTTGCGATTTTTTCCTTATGATGTAATAAATTCATTTATCACGTGGAATATTTATGATTTCTAACTGTGAAAATAAAAAATATTTATTTTGTAAACTTAACGTTAAGTCGATAATTGACAATTAAATATCTGTGCCTATTTCTTATAATACCGTACTGTTTATATTATACAATTTTAGAAATTGTATATACTTTCGTATATAATAAATGTTCTGATCGACCTGAATTATTTCATCTGGGATTATTATTTTATAACACGAGTTCAAATTTAAATACAATTGATGCATGCATTTATTTGACCCGGGATTTATTAATAAAAAAAATTTTATATGTAATTCACTATTTGGATTTTTGCAAGTTTTCATTCATACTGATATATATGAGATGTTACATGGCATAAAGTTTATGTTGTGATTGGTTGGCTTTTAAGGAGTAATTATTATAGTGTTAGTACCATAATTATTCACATTGTTACATTGGATATAATTCCGCCCGAAAAATCATAATTTTCGCCTTCGAAGATCATATTGTTAGGATACCATATCGTTAGGATATCATTTTGTTAAAATTTAATATATGGGGGGGGGGCGGTCAATAGAAAAAGGGGGAAATCTACAAATTTTGAGTAATTTTAGTTATTAAGCTATTTTTGATCACATGATCATGATCAGCAGAGTAAACAAATAAAAAAACTTTTGACTAAAAAGTGGATTTCCCTCTTTTCTACTGACCGCCCCCAATATATATGCTGGTTTCACTTGGAATTTTAGCAGGTTCTTTAAGGTATTTTTAGCACAATTGCCTTCCTTTATTTATATATACACCTTAATTCATTCCCTTTTTTCCTTGCGATATTATCCCATTCGTAATTTTATCTTAATTTCATAAATTATATTCTATAAGTTTTTTAATTTTCATTGTTTTAATATTTTTCATTTAATTTTTATTGGTCCGATTATTATATTTCGCAGTTTTTTATTAATTAGATTAAGTAATTAGCATTTATTTGAATCAATAAATTGAATTGCTAAAGTATAGAGCGCCAAACACTGATTAATTAATTTCATTTACATCATAATTATTCAATTGTTATGAATAAAACACCTTCTGCTTACAATTAAAATTGTATATAAATAAATACTTGAAAGAATTGAATAAAATAGTATTAATAAAATTATATTTCGAAGTCACGCGATACAATTTTTACTTATAAAACTTTCTTTGTTAAAACTTAAATGGTGACCAGCCGAGTGACGTGAATCAAAAATGCTAATTTATTCCAATTGAATAGAATAAAAAAAAAATAAATAAAAAACTGAATCTGACTGCTGTTGCCATTAAATCATCGATTGCAACTTTTAAAAGCAAGATAATACTTACCCAGAAATATGTTTAAACTTTGATTCTTGTTTCTCAACGGTAAATCAAAAGTGGATTATTTATTTCAACTTGAACGGCTGTAATTTCGGCATAAACTATTTAAATAATTTCGTATTTATTTAGTTTTCAAATTCAAAATAATGATGTTTCACGGTTTAGGCTTTGAATCATTCTATCATAATTATTGTCATAATTAAATAAGTATGTTCTAGTCCTTATATTTTATTTGTATCTTATCAGAAATAGTTCTTAATGAATTTAAATTTTCACATGTTTAAGCTACCTGATAAGATTCATGATTTTTTGGTAATCATATGGTGATCATAACTAAGTGTCCTACGTTTACGCTTTTGACAATTAAAATTTAGTATAAAAGCTTCATGATGAATTCTTTTCTGATGAAAATTATTCTTAAAATTTGAAATTTTTTTTTTCAAATTGATCAAATAATTCGGATGGATGCGGATCGTTACATATAGCATTTATCCAATTTCCTAATAAATCGTTTAATTAAGAAAGCAGGACTGATTGAAGGGTTAGGATCCCAACATTGTGTAATTAAGCATTTGGAGAGCCATCAATAATTTCGGGTCGAAGACCACTACACATTTCACTAGCTAATTTAAAATCATGTGGTCTATTATGGACGAATACCAGTAGAACGCGTCCACATGATAATTCCAAAGCTATATATGTCTGCGGCCTCTGTTAGTGGATTTCCTTGCAAGATTTCGGGAACTACATAAGGAAGAATTTAATATATTTCATTTGAATCATTCTTATAAAAGGAATAATATAGTGCAATATCCGGGATATAGATATTATCGAACGAATCTTGTGTAACTTCAACCAAAATATTTTCTCCATGATTTCCATGAATTAATAATCCATTTTCATTCAATTGTTCTAGATATACTCCAAAGCATTCCTTAAGTTTCATCAATATATGAATGTAAGTCTCCGTTTTCATAAAATTTCATGTCAAACAAGTAATTTGAAGTATGATCCTTAGTTATGCCAAACAAATCCGCTACACTTCCACCATGTAAACAACGCTGATATTTATAAATCTTCATCAAAAATTATCAAATATATTATTAAAAATTTAAACAAATAAATTAATAATAAATAAAATATTACTAACTTGATTCAAATAGTCTGCGCTATGTTTTGCGAGTTATTTAGTCTTTAAGTGCAACCTTTATGGGCCCATTACGTATCCATTGGTCAGCCATTTCATCCCAAATCCATCGAGGACCTTCCATCACTCAATTAGGTAAAAAATCCATGTCGATCGGTAACGTTTAGATTACCTGTATAAAAAGTTTTGAATTGTGTGACCTCGTGAGTTACCATTTTAGGATGACAACGAATTGTTTAATTGTCTACTATTTGGTATGGTGATGATCGGATTCTTAAAATTAAATTAATAATTTAATTTATTACGTGATAACTAAAATTAAATAATTATTTAAATAACAACGAGTTATATATCTATCGTTATACTACCCTTTTCACATTTTTTGTCCGCTTTTTAAATTATCTATAATTACAAAGTAATTTAACAAAGAAAGAAAAGCGGAAATTAATTATTAAAATAGTGGTATATCTAAAATACAATCGAAATTTGTTTCAATATATTAGATCATCTCATTTTTTAACAATACAATTGAATTTCGCTGATTATTATAATTATTGATAAATTTTCGATTGTTTACTTAATATTTTACAACTTTTTTATTTAATTTTCCAAATTTTAGTTATTTTTAATTTTTTCTTTTATTATCAAAAAATACAAAAAAAAAATGCAGGTTGGATAGAGGATTTATCAATGGCAAGTTACAAGATTTCTCAAAGAACGTCAACAAAATTTTACTATGAATTCTTTAAAACAAATCTCTTCGGATTGCATGATTTAGAAAATCAATGATTATACATTAATATGTGAAAGATGTGTTTTTGACAAGGAAAATATGCATGTAAATATAAATTAATTAGTTTATTATATGTAATTATACATTTTGTCTTTTACCCATTAAATAAACACCTTTTAAATTAATAAAAAAAAAACTTCAAATACTCTACTACATAATTCAATTACTAATGATTCTATTCTCATAACCTGCTGCAGCGCAGCAGATACAAACTAGTATTTAATAAAATTATCAACGTTAAGATTTTCACTAGTCCAATTTCTAAAATTCTCTTTAAAGGCATTGATTCTTCCTTTCCGCAATATTGGCATTCCAAAAGCAGAATCAGATTCATTTCTACTACTCCAATAAATGCCAAATTTATATCTAAAGTATAAGGATTTATGTTTTGATAAGACATGAGATCTACATAAATTGTCGTACCAAATTCTATGCCTTCTATATCGAATTATTAATTGAGTTAAAGTTAAAGTATGTATAATAATGTGAAATTAAATTCTTCTTTTTTAAACGAAGAATAACAATTTCCTTTGTACTTTCATGATATAAGCAAGAAAATATTTTTAAGCAGTAACAGGGCATTATGGTACTTTTGGCAATTTGGCGATCCAGATTTTTTTTGTCAAAGACGGGAATCAACAATAGAAGTATTTGATTTGCGTCATTTCTACATGCATATTTTATTTTTAAAAATTAAATGGTAAAAATAAAAGGTACGGACAAATTGGCACGCGCAACTGGCAAAATTTTGGTTATCACAAAGTGAAAAGACGAGATTCCTAGATTACAAGAAAAATACTTACAATTGTTATAAAGCAAAAGAGAAGTAAATTTTAATTATCTATTTAAATGTTGAACGCAATTTAACAAATAATAAATCTCAACGTAAAAACTTCATCCTATTTATAATTAATTTATCATTTGTCCGTTGTGATCTAATACACATGAAACAAATTTTGATTTTCGATGTATTTCATTTTTATTTTTTCTTGTTGATTATGTAATCATTATCCTTAATGTAATAAACTTCATTTCGGGTAAATTCCTAAATAATAAGTTAAGTTTGATTTGATAAGTAATTTGCACGCTTTTAAAGGACTTTTTTTTTTTAATTATATAATTAATTCTATGATTGGGTAAGGGTAACATCCAGTGTTGCATATTTTAATGTCCGCAACTTTTTTGGCTGTCCCGGACATGTCCGCATCTTCTCAACTTATAAAATTCTACAAAAAATGTGTGTATTTATGCGTAATTAAGCGCTATACATTTTTTGCTGATTATCGAAACAGGTTATAAAATTTTGAGGGGATTAGCACTTTTATCTCGTGTCACCTGTCCCGGTCATTGTCTCGTGATACCAATCTAATGGCGCAATATTTTTATGGACCTTTGGGGAAAATAAAAAACTATATGGAATGAAACAGATTTTTGATATTGAAAAAAATCTTTATTGAACTTTAATCTAATAACCTAAATTAAGTATAATTACAGATTACTTAACAATTAAAAAGGATTTAGGATATATTAAATGATTAATCTATTTTTTTTTTTTGAAATTAGCTTAGAATAATGTCAATTTTATGCAAAATTCATGGTAAACTAAGACCTATAAATGTATTTTTAATACATATTAAACATTAGAAATTGTGAATTTTGAAATCGTAAATTATCAGTTATGCTGATCGACATTATATTTGTATTGGCTCGCGCTAATCCAAATATCACAGATATGATATTGTTATTGAACGGGCGTTAAAATATCGGTCGAAGACCGATATAGTCCCATTCAATAACAGAGCCGAATTTTGCATCATGTACTATCATATACCGTAGATCATCAAAAAAATAAATAAATAAATTTATGCTAATATGTCAAATAGCAATGTAAATCAGAATTTATTTATTATTTCTATTAGTACAATTATTTGAATGGGGATCAGCTATGAACTATCGTGACCTACATAGACAGTATCTCGAATCAAAGAAAAACTTACAAGAATAAGAAGTTTTTCTTATCACTTTGCGATTAATTAATGGAAGTTGCTGTTTTTAATTTCATTCTAATTTATATCTTTTCATATTTGGGTCAAAAAGGACCTCCGAAACCCTCCGTCAAATTTTATTTAATTTATATAAGCCGAACATGCTTACTATATTATAATCTGTTTTTTTTTTAATTATACAAGTATAATAAATTACCGAAATATTCAAATAAAAAATTTTTTTTGAAAGATCGGCAATCTAAAATTAGAACGATATGAACGATATGCAGTTTAATACTGTATGTAACTAGACTCATGATTATGGCAGGCCAGGGCCGGCCTTTACATTTGTAACATATGTATATTATTTAATTTTATAACATATCATTATTAATTTGCTGGTATATTGTAATGTTACGCTGTAATTTTGATCGTCAACAAAAAAATTGACCACCAAAATTGATTTTTTTTTCGACAGGTTTTTTTTTCTCCATTTTCTTTGTTTATTTCAGTAATTAAAGTATTTAATTTTTTTAGTTTTTGTATTTCTGTATTGATTATATTTTTTGTAAAATAAAAAATAAAATGTAAAGTAAAGTTACGGTATTTATGAAATTTATTTATATTGAATTAAAACGTGCAAATATAAAAAAGTAAAACAATAAATATGATAAATGCTCTCATTATGATTGTAGTCCACCACCTTATTTCTAAAGATGAAGAATCTAAAAGAAAGAGATACCTCATTTTGACCATATATTCAATACATTCTTCTCAAAACATGCTCTTTTTCGCCTGTTTTCCTATTTTTCCCTGAAATAACCATAGGGTCACAAATTTTCTTTTCCTTTATTATTAGAAACGGCAGTTTTCGCTTGGAACCACCACCTTGTGATTTTCGATTCTTGAACTAGTATGTTAGCACCACTTTTTACACGAACCATTGGGTCCAGATCACGTTGACTTTGCAGCGTTATAACAATCTTTAAATTGTCCAGTACAATTTGTAGCGTTTGACAAGAATATTGATAATCAGATTTAACTACTTCTAAAAAAGAAGTAAACTCAGAAATATCAATTTCTTTGTCCTTCTCACTTGGTTCACTACAAAAAAAATCATAAAAGATCATAAAAACTTCGCGATTCTTGTAATTGATTGATGAAACAAAAAAAAACTTACACTCACTTGGTAGTCAAAGTATTTGTTGATGGTCTCATTTCAGTGTGTAAAATTTGTGTCTCTTTAGTTGTATAAAAAGACTTGCTCTTGTTACACAGATTTCGATTTTTCGTTGTCGTTGAATTTAATTATTAATATGATATACTGTAAATCACAGTGTTTGTTTTATATAATAACAGCTTTCAAACTTTTCAAAGCAATGCAACGTTTAATTATAATACCTACCTAAATTTTAAAAAGCTTATAAATCAGATTTAATATTTCATTATAAACTCATCAAATCTATATTATTCTAACTATTTCATCTAACTTAACTTTAAACATATATCATTATATTATATTACAAAGTTGTACTAAAAATTTTACTGGAATCTAATCTATAGCGGATGTTTCTCTTGGCCAGTTCAATAAAACTTTTCTTGCGTTAATACTTTACATAGTAAAATCGGCATATTAACTTACAAGCATTTTTGAGAAGTGAACATTTTGTGTGAGACAGAAATTATAATTACGGTACGAATCTTATTTTCTTCACACCACAATAATTTTTTTTAAAATACTTAATCGCGAACACAATTTTCGCAAGCATGTTCTATTTATCTCCCATCCTCATTATTTTTGCTTCAAAACAAACCAGAAGTTTCTTTGAAAACAGCTGATAATAGTTCACTGGTCCGCCGGATGTTTTCCACCAACCACACCGGTAATCTATATTCCTTTTATATCCAAAAACATATGGCAATATTATATAACGCATCGTTGAAATTCAAAAGGGTAATATTCGATTAAAATCTTCGTTCCTTTTGTTCTAAGTAAAAACATTGAATATAAAATATTTAAAAACAAAATTCGTTTGTTTTTATAATTCCAATTGTGAAGATGATGATATTTAGACAATAAATTAAAAAACGTATAGGCTTGAAAATACAGATAACTAATGAAAAGGTTTTGAAGTACGCTGACGACATCTATCAATGTTCTAAATATACTTTTCAAGATAATACGTATATATCTTTCATAATTATATATGCTCTTCGACATAGAATGTTAAATTTCAGTCTTAAATCATGTATCACTAACTTTAATTTTTTTTTCCAGTATTTTCTTTATCTAGCAGGGCTCGTATTCCAACTTTTCATTAAAAACGTCGAGATTACACATGGCACTTTGAAAGAGAGAGAAATGCCAGTAAAAATAAAAATTAGCTAGCTAATAACCATATTTGGCATATAAAAGTAAATATTACAAAGGTCCCTTATATCTTTAGTTACTATGCATAGTTGTGTTATCTTTGTTTTTTAATATTTATGTTTAAGTTTTTTTGAGAAAAATAAAAAGGGAGCACCCAATAAGCGAAAAAAAAGAACAAATCAATACGCTTGTCTAGTTCATCATTGCGGTGAAGGTAAGCCGACTCGAATTCTTTTTTATTTTTTATTTTTTAATATTTTTATTTATTTATTTATTTTTATTTTTTAATAAATTATTATTTTAATATTTTATTTATTTTTTTTTTATTTATTTAGGTTCGATTGGTTCCTCCACTTTGGTAAAGAACCGGACGGAACCTTCGAACAGAACTGACCAGCTCATCACCATGGAAGGTAAGCTGACGAGTTTCTTTTTTTAATATTTATTTTTTATTTTATTTTAATAATCTTTTTATTTATTTTTTTTTTATCTATTTAGGTTCGATCGGTTCCTCCGCTTTGGTAAGAACTGGACAGAACCTTCGAACGGAACTGACCGGTTCATCACTGCGGCAAAGGTAAGCTGACGAGTTTCTTTTTTTAATATTGATTTTTTTTTTATGTATATTAATTAATATTTTTTTTTAACGTTCTGTTTATTTCCTTTTTTTTAGGTTCGATCGGATCCTCCGCTTGGGCTAAGAACTGGATGGAACCTTCGAAACGGAATTGACCAGCTCGTCACCGCGGCGAAGGTAAGCTGACTAAATTTTTTTGATATAATTTTTTTTTTTCCTTATTTTGGTAATTATTTTGCTTTTTTTTAGGTTCGATCAGTTGGCTAAGAACCGGACAGAACCTTCGAACAAAACTGACTGACTCGTCATCACGGCTAAGGTGAGCTGACTAATTTTTTCGATTTATTATTTTATTTTCTTTTCTTATTTTGGTAATTAATTTGATTACTAATTTTATTTATTTCATCTGATTTAGGCAGTTTAGGTTGGATCGAGATTAGATCATCCTTTGGCTGAAATTATCAGATGAAACAGGATTTTCGTTACCGCAGTATATGTTTTCGACGAATTCTTTCATTTTAAATTAGTAATTCAGTTCCAATTTTTTTTTTTTTTTAAAAAAAAATCATATATAAACAACCGTTGTTCCTATCAATATTGATATTGATATTGATATTGATATTGAAATTGATATTGATATTGATATTGAAATTGAAATTGAAATTGATATTGATATTGATATTGAAATTGAAATTGAAATTGAAATTGAAATTGAAATTGAAATTGAAATTGAAATTGATATTGATATCAATATAAATAAAAACGGCCCCCATAGTTCTTGTATGAAGCTAACCAAATTTATACCTATTCCTTCCTTTTTGAGAATGGCCATAGCTTCCACTATATAAAGTAGAATCACCCAACACCAACATCTATATGGCATGAACTGTATATAGTGTTAATAATGTGGATAGGCCATTTCTGCTTAAACCATATAAAATTATGACCAATAATAAGAGAATAATCATTTGGAGAATCTAATCTGCTTAATACAGGAATTCCAATGCAAGAGGAACACTTTTAATTAGGTAATAGGTAATATCTTATTCATTATAGGTTAATTATTTGTTGAATTAAAATCATTTTTTAGAACTTTCAACTGAAAGTCAAAGTCTGAAAGCAAAGAATTAAAAGATTATGTCATAATCAATAACCATCCAACTGATTTTCAAAGTACTTAAACGTTTTCTAAATTTACTTGAATACAGTCTTGGTTCATCATCTTGCAGCTAAAAGATTTGACAATTAAAAAATTCATTATTAGTTTTTTACTCATCAAAAGTTGCAAAAAATGTTAGCTTTATTTTGAAGGTTTTTTTGATTTACCACTTTCACTAAATGTATATAATAATTGTAAGTTTCCATTTTCGAATAAGTAACTTTTTTTTCAAATAAAACAAATCCGTAATCATCAGATAAAATTGAAAGATACTGATAGGATTTTGAAATTCTACACATTTCCAATTGTTATAATCTTCTAATGACTTAACCCAAACTATTTCATTGAAATTTTCAATGCCTTCAAGTTTGCTTTCGATGAATTCTAGACATCTTAATCTATAATCCATTGAATTTCTTATCGTATGATTGGTATCTTTTGATATTTCAATATTCGCAAATATCTGGAGCTCCTAAATTTATATCACAATCATTTGCTTTTTCTGTAAAATAAATTCTTTCACCCAAGATCACTTCAGTTGATATGAATTGACAAAATCCTTAACTATTCGAATAAAATTTATCAGTTTTTCGATTTTATAGCATCATTTATTCTCTCAAGAAATTCTTCAGTTGGTATCAAATGATTTCTAATGTTAATATTAAGGAGTATTTGCCATAATTTCTACAGTCACACTTCGATATAATGAAGTTGCTGATCTAACCAATCAGGACTTCGTTATAAGAATCTTCGTTAATGCTATAATGAATTATGCGGTATGTATAACGAATAATTCGTTATAGCGTTAACGAATTATTCGTTATAGTAGATGATT